CCACCCCTTGAAATTCTTCTCTAATTAAACCTCCCAAAAAACGCCTTGATTAAATCACTCCACATAGATTGCTTTCTCTCTGGTGGGATGACCACACTATGAAGAAGTAGCAACATTCTCAAGCTTAGCCTGGAAAAAAGGAAAAAAAAGTCTCAACCTGATGACAAAAAGTCCCATAAGATATTAAAGAGTTCAGGATTGTCACCAAAACCTGCTAGGAAATATAACAGAAAATTGAAAGATGATTTGGGTTTTCTTTACCTTGTTTGCTCAAGGTTCCTTCTTGGATATAGAACCATTGTATACTTTCTTCTCCCATTTTGGTGTTGGTGCAGATGCCACCAAGCACAGAGAATATTGTTTAATCTGGGTGGTTACCTTTCCAATTTGTTTCACACAAGGAGGTCAAAAGTTTTAAGGTAGTGGAACAATGATTGTCCATTCTGACCTTAAGTAATGATCTCTACTTGTTTTTTCTAAGGATATTTGAGATAGAAAACCAAGATTTCTTTTGATCTCAGTAGACCCCCCCACCCCCCACAAAAAAAAANAAAAAAAAAAAAAAAAAAAGTTGATGATGCTTGATTCATCTCAAAAGGGGCAGAAAGCCGACAAATGTTTGAGTATTATACATCAGTTGCTACCGACTTTGCACTCCTAAGTGAATAATTTAGGCAACATAAAGAGTTGGGAGTTCAAGTTTAAATCATTTTCAGTTAGGAATGTCCAATTGACTGTTCGAACATGGATGACTGTTTGTTCTGACATGTATATTGAATTTCAATGCTAATGTAAATAAGTCTGTTTTTAATGTCTTAATAGTTGATTATATATGTGGAAATTATGAATTTATGATATTTAAGGCTATTGTACATATTGTTCATCGATCCTGTTGTGTTATTTCCAGACACATCCTTCACAGTCATGCTTCATGTCGTCGGTTGATGTTCACACACATTACTCATATCAGGTATCTCATTTTCTTGTGAGCAAAAGCTAATGTGTTAGATGCGTAGGAGTACTTGATAAACTATACTTCCCTGTTGCATGGATTACCGATGATGGATATCACTAATTGCAATTTTTCGGAGCTTACTTCTACTGGCAAAAGATAAGCATTCATATTTTTATGGAACGACGATGAAATAAGCTCCTTTGATTATGTGTATAAACATACTTTTTCATGATTTTGAAATGAATTTATACCCGCTTACTTTTAAAATCTACATCAACAATCTCCTTCCCTCTGGGTAGCGGAAAAAGGGAAGTGGGGCAGGTGGCATACTCCAAGTTGAATCAAGAGATGTTTGAGTGAAGAGAGGAGGGGCGGGATCGGTCTGAAAGAAAGGTGCTCTTGAAGAGGAGAAAGACTTGGTTTTATTTAATGTCCCTCGTTTCTTATTTGTGTGTGAGAGAGACTTGGCGTAGATGAAAAAAAAAAGGGATTAGCATTTGCAAATACACTAGAAACTTAAGAGTAAGGATATTTCTGTGCAACTATTGTTAAATCACATGAAATTATACATTTTTTTAAGGCTTTACACTATTGCTTTGGAAGCTAATATAGATTCTCAATCTCCAGGTAATGTTGCCTGAAGCTGTTGCAATTGTGATGGCTCCCCAGGACAGTGCAAGGTATGATCTTTAAATAAAAACACTTTGCCTAGATTGCTTGAATTTCCTTAATCACTCTGTTGGAACATTCTTTAACATTTTCTAAGAATCCCCCCCTGACATGAACAGAACCCATGGCATTTTCCGGTTGACAACCCCGGGTGGCATGTCAATAATTAGGCAATGCCAACAACGTGGCTTTCACTCGCATGGTCAGCCTCCTGATGGTGGACCCATTTACAAAACCTGTACAGATGTATACATGGATCCCAATCTGAAATTTGATGTCATTGATCTTCGATAATTTGAAACCGGTATTTTTGTGGCATTGAAGCACTCCTAATTCGTACAGACTAAGTTCTATCAATAGAGACAAACTCCTGTAACTTTGTTCATACATAGGCTTTACCTCCAGAGGCAATGCCGGTCAATCTTTTTTTAGCTTGAGCATTTGTATACCAATTAATCCCCCGATATTGAAAGAACAGAGATTTCATCCAAACAAACACTTCAAAACGATTGTTTCTTGTACAGACATGCTTGCGTTATTTTTATGAGAAATTCTATACCTTACAAATGACTCAAGGATCCTATGCATTTTGATGATAGGCAATCATTTTCCATGTTTGAAGTATGGCACTGTTGTACAAACTGTGGTATATCTATAGAGTTCGAGTATTGGTATCTCTATCATTCTAATGGAGAATGAAAAGGTAAAGATGGAAGGCAGCAGAAAAGGAGTGAGCGAGCTGGAACTGTACACTTTTGTAGGACTGTGGAATCATTTCTTTTCTAATGCTTGATATACATAGAGAGAAGTGTGGAATCTTTTCTTCAAATCTCACAACACTAAAGAATGTTTGAGCACATTCATTTCGCGTATACGATAATGAGGATACATTTCAGTCTTTTTAAGACTACAAAAGCGTAGTTTACACAGTTTCTTGGTCAAATGATTGATCCATTGATTAAAAAGAAAAAAAGTTGAGGCATTTCTAGGTGGTATTCAACCATCAATTTTTTTTAACCATCAATCCAACCCAACTTATTCTTTTTTTTTTTTTTTTTTTTTGTTTCATCGATTGAGATCTTTTTGTCTCTCTCCCTCTCTCTCTCTCAAAGACAAAGAAGGAAAGTTGACCCGATCGGACTCATTATGTTAGTGCTTAAGCCCGGATCGTCATCAGTTTCATGATTTTTTAAAACGCATTTGCTGGAAAAAGGTTTTCAGGTTTTTATAAAAATATGTTTCGATCGCCTCTTCAACTGACGTGAATCTCACACACTTTCACCTTTCACCCCAAATATGTTCTGTTCTGTAACAAATCCTGCTGTACAACTCTTTCCTCCCACATTGAAACTGGCACAGGCATGACACGTCCGAATTGGTACTCTTCCAACATAGTTTAGTGATTCAACATGAAGGGTTATAGGCTGTGCTGGAGATCAAGACAGTGACAGAACCCTCTTGAGAGGGGTCTCCCATTGCCAGTTTAACCACCAAAACAGCACACTTCCAACACATCCGTTAATGTTCACTCACAATCAAGAGTACTTTGATGCTGATCACAACATTTGATTTTATTTTTCACTTTCTGCTCTTCATGTTCAACAAACCCATCTGTTATTCTCTACAACATGACAACACATGATGAGGATGGCTGTTGGCTGATGGGTTTGTTGCAGCTGAGGACTGTTTTGTCATTTACCTCTTCCCCCTTTTCCCCTCTCGGTCCCCCTCAACCAAGATTGCTCAAATGGCAAGTTGCTCGGACCATCTTCATCTTCTCCACCCTGGACCCTACTTCCCATCATTCTCCAACTCACTCAACTTTAGACTGTTTCTTACTTTAAACCCAATTTTGATGGCTGCTTTCGTTAAATCTAACTTGGCCCAAGCCTATTATGGAGTAGATATTGTCCTTTTTAGACTTTCTCTTTTCGAGCTTCCCTCAAGGTTTTTAAAATGCATGGTTTCCACACTCATATAAAGAATGTTTTGCTCTTCTCCTGATCTAATGTGTGATCTCACAATCCACCCCCTTTGAGATTCAGCATCCTCACTGACACTTATTCCCTTCTCCCTTCAATCGATGTGGATCTCCCATGTCTACCCCCATCGCTTGCACATTGCGTGATGTTTGACTTTGATACCATTCTTGAACGGCCCAAGCTCAGTCGGGCATCTCTTATACGTTTTTAAAATGCGTCTACTAGGGAGAGGTTTCCACACCTTTATAAAAAATATTTCGTTCTCTTCCCGAAGTAGAATTTCAAATAGCTCTTATTTAAGTAAGCATGTATGAGTAGCCAATATTGTAGAGCTTTTTGACATGGGAATGAAAAGATTTGAATACTTTAGGACAAAGGAAAGAGAGAAAAATCCTAATGGAAAAAAAAGGGAAAAAGTGAATGTTGGCTTGACTTAAAGCATTCTTCATTTTATCATGTTCTCACGCTGTATCTTTTGTCTCAATTAAGCATATTCTAGTGGAGACTGAAAGAAAAGTAAAGAACAAATAAAATATGTGGATTCGTAGACGGAAAAAAGCCTTCATCATAAGGGTGTAGAAATCTCTCTCTAGTAGACACGTTTTTAAAACAGTGAGACTGACGGCAATACGTAACGGACCAAAGCGGACAATATCTCCTAGCGGTGAGCTTAGACTGGGACTACTAGGGAAGCAAAGCTTTTACAATAGCTTCGCTTCATTTCTTTTTGGTTTCTAGCTTCTCGAATGGACGGTTCGGTAAGCAAGCTACTTTCAACATCGGTCAAATCCTTATCAATAATGGGTTGGGAATGGTGGCTAAGGATGCCCTCTCTACTTCAATGGACTTCTTCCACATTTTTTTTTATCTAAGAAACGTTCAACTCTTTGAAAAGGCCACATTCTATATAAGTTGGTGGAAAGAGGTGGTTTGTTACATCTAGAACAGTAGATCGCTGCATTCTTCCTTTTATTTATCCATTATGAGAGAAATTTGCTTGGAGTTGTTGACAAGTTTCTCTCTGCTGATTCAACATGGTAGTTTCTTTCAACCTTTTATAATGATAATAATAATGTTGAATTACAAATTTGGATTTTTTTTTTTTTTAATAAAAAAGGTTTAGTTCTCCTCTCCAACTGACGTGGGATCTCATAATCAATCTCCTTGGGGGCCAGCATCCTTGCTGACACACCGTGCAGTGTTTGACTCTGCTACTATTTGTAACCGTTCCGGCTTTGGCGGATGTGGACAGGCTTTGGGTTACCGTCAATGGAAGCTCTAATACAATATAAAATTCAAAGCTTTTCCATTTCCTTCCCATTAGCCAATTCTTGGATTTCCCTTCTTTCTTACTCTTCTAGCAACTTGTGTGCCTCTTTTTTTCTTCCTTTGCTTCTCTCTGATGCCAGATCTTGAAGCTTCCTTACCCCTTCTCTCTCTCTTTAGGCCTGATTTGAAGTTTTGAGGTTCCATTTTTGCGTTTACCTTGTCAGTTTGAGCCTTCAAGGCTGTAGAAAACAACGAAGTTTCCCTGATACTCTTCATTGATTTGAGCAATTAGGAAACTCAGGCGCTGATTCTGGGCGTTTTTTGGACTCCCTTTCTATCTTCCTTGGAACATGTGAAAGACAGCTTTGTTTAACTTTGTTTTTTTTGACTTTCTTAGCTAGTCCTCAGCTGTTTTCTCCCCCTCATTCCTGCCAAATTCTCAGAATTTGAGGCTACAAAGAGGTGGTGGAGAACGAACACCATGTGCTCGGAAACAAGCTCGCCGAGAATATCGTTTTCACACAATCTCCCTGGCGATGACAGCCTGCTGATCGATCAGCACGGGCGACGGGACTTAACATTGTTGGATTCAAATCTAGACTTTGAGTTCAATATCAGCATTCAACATGAATCTTCCTCTGCAGATGAGCTGTTTAGCAATGGAGTCATTGTTCCTTTCAAAATTGAATCTCATAAACAATCTCATCCTTTTGAGCCTCCACTCACAGCGTCACTACCTCCTCTTCCTCCCACAGAGAATTCAAAGCAGACATTGGTGGTGAATTCAACTTCATCAGGTCAGTTAGAACAGAGAGGTTCAGAGTCCAAATCCTTTTGGGGATTCAAAAGAAGTAGCAGCCTCAACTTTGAAAGTAAAAGAGCATCTCTTTGTCCACTCCCACTTTTGTCACGCAGCAACTCAACTGGGTCAGTGCCAAATTCAAAGTCCAAAAAGTGTAAACACTCACAAAAGCAAATTTCTCAGAAACAGTACTCGACATCGAACAGAAAGTTGTCGTCAACGTCGCTGCCACTGTCGTCGTTGAATCAATATCCAACAAATCTAAAGCCTCAGGTGTGCAGGAATCCAGGAGGGGCTTATGGCAAGTATCATTGCATTGGCCCTGTGTTGAATGTCCCTCCAAAGTTCTTTGGTTTGGGATCAATTCTTGGATGTGGGAAAGATAGAAAGAGTAAGAAATGATTTGTTCATCGTTTCCTTGTCTTTTTCAGTTCAATCCGTGGCTTGCTTTGTCATTAGACGTATTTTAAAAATCGTAAATAGATAATATTTATTAGTAACAGCTTAACAATTACAATTTTGATGTATGGTTGTGCAATTTTCATTTATGATTGTGCTGATGTATTAACTCAATATAAATATATTGCTTGGATTGATATTCACCTCTTTGTCTAATTGATAGCTAATTTGATTAAAAAAATTGAATTATTTGATATTTAAGAACTAAAAGATTGGAGGTTAACTATCAATATATAATTTTATTTTTAAAAATTTGGGTTTGAAGAATTATTAATTTGGTTAAATGGATAAAATTAAAACCCTAAGAACAAGTTTTGGAAATTATTCATCTTTTTGCAGTAAATCTTTAAACTCGAGATAGTTTTTGGGGAAAATCGTGTTTCATTCCGTTTCGTTTTTAATTCGCTTCTTGCCATGGATGGTAATGGCGACGATCCTTTTGATTCACTCACCAAACTCTGCGTCCTCTCTGACTCCCAAGAGGACATTTTACGTCGCTGCTCTTTCGCCGGCAACCCCGAATCCGTCGATGGCTCTTGTTCTACCTACTCCCAAATCCATCAGCTTCTTCAGCCCACTGGTCTTTTCATGGCTTCTCTTCCGGAGAGTTTGGAACGGAGAGAGCAAATCACCTCTCATAATGCTTACCAGGCTCCACCGGAACAGTCCGGAGGGCAGCGGCCCATGGCTGAAGATGATCCTTCTCTTCAAGATGCGGCGGTGGTCGCTGGCGGTGCTGAGGCGGCTGTTGAAGGCGGATGTGTGCGCGATGTTGCCACTGCAGTTGATTTGGGGAAAAACGATGACCTAGGGTTTCGTTTGGAAGTTCAATCGACACAACAGATTGATGAAATCGAAATTATTGGTGTTCGTAGGAGAAAGGTTTCGGAGTCTGATGCTGGTGGAGAGCGTGAATCGGCATCGAAAAGGTTGAATTTTTCGAATGAAGCTTTGGGCACAGACTCTTCCGTCCCAATCGTAGTAGAAAAATTACCAGTCGATCTCGAGTCCGGTGGAGGATCGAAACTCGTAGATCACAATGTCGAAATGGCTGAGGAATCGGCAACCGTCGCTGTAGAATCCGGCAAGGTAGACGATGGAAAGGTCTCCAATGGCGAAGAAACTCACTGTAATAAGAACAAGGAAAAATTTGCAGAGAACAGAGTCGAAAATTCCCAACCCGATGAACCGTGCAACTACGAAGGAACAATGTATCGCGATCGATGGAGGTGCGTTCTGCCATCAACAATGAATGGATCGAAGAATTCGGAGGAGACTGATGCAACGCTCCCATCCATTATTATGGAAATTTTAAAGCTTCTGGCAGAAGAGGAAGGTGAAGAAGACAAGGAATTGGCAAGTATGAGCATATTGGAAGTCGTATCCCGCCGTGGAATGACATTTCCTCGGCCATGTTGGTGGCCGGAGGGGCAGGAATTCAGCTTCAAGAAGAAAAGTTGAAGGTAATCTAATCATCAGTATTAGCAGTTGGAAGAAGAATTTCTTTTGGAAATGACCAATTCTGGAATCGAGAAACGTATTTAGATTTTGGGTTGCTTAAATGTATGAATTCACAGCATTAATGTGTTCTTGAGAAGCTCGGAGTAGTTGAAGCCTCTTCTTCATCCAAATGCTTGAACTCTTCCCATTAATGTATTTTTGTGTTTCTTGTAGGATATGCTTAAAAGTTTAGCCTTTTTCAATTTGATTACTTGAACATATCTCAATTGTTGGTTGGAGAAACTTGGATTTAATCAACAATAAGATATTCAGAGTGAATTTGTAATATTTCACTATGCAATTAGGGTTAGTAAGAGACAAAAATTTTATTTATCAAAATTGTGTGACGTATCATGATTTCGACATCACGTGATCGGACTTTGGAAATCAGATTCAATTATAAACTAGTAGAACTCAAATTTCTTTCTAAAATTTTCTCTGGGCTTTTCAATAAGGTCATGATCGCACCATAATCAGTTCGTAAGTAGGCATGGATTGAAATATTTATTATAGATTTTTTAAAATTGGCTTCTCTAGTGACCCACAGGTCCAGTCCAGTTTTGGAGCGAAGCCCACATACCCAATCCGTCATCTGTGTTGGACTTGAACGTGAAAGAAACCTTCGAAAACCCAAATCCAGATCTTTGTCCCTTCCGATTTCATGATTTTATTGCAGAAAAGCCTGGAATTATTTGTTCAATTCTTCCTCTTTCTGCCCGAAATTCACGACTTCCCATTGCTAATTATCTAGCTCTACTGAATGGAATCGATTTAATTCATTCCTCCGATCTCTGGTTCTTCAGCTCATTACCAGCTCTTCAACCATGAAATTCTAGCCAAATTCTCATCTGGGTATTGCCTCCGCAGTCATTACAGTGAGCAGTTTCGTCTCTATCAATGGCGGGTTCCTCTCTCATGGAGACTCTCTTTCAGCGAACTCTCGATGACCTTATCAAAGCCCTCCGCCTCCAACTCCTCGGAGAGTCTGCTTTTATCTCCAAAGCCATGGACGAGATTCGCCGCGAGATCAAATCTACGGACCCTCAAACTAAGTCCACCGCTCTGCAAAAGCTCTCCTATCTCAGCTCCCTTCACGGTATCGATATGAATTGGGCTGCCTTTCATGTCGTCGAGGTTATGTCAGCCTCTCGCTTCGCCCAAAAGAAGATCGGGTACCTCGCTGCCTCCCAATCGTTTCACGAAGCCACCCCAGTTCTCCTCCTCATTACCAACCAGCTCCGGAAGGATTTAACTAGCACAAACGAATTCGAGGTCAGCCTTGCTCTTGATTGTTTGTCCAGAATTGCTACTATCGATCTTGCTCGGGACTTGACCCCTGAGATTTTTACATTGTTGTCGAGTACTAAGCCCTTCGTTAGAAAGAAGGCAATTAGTGTGGTTTTGAGGGTTTTTGGTAAATTCCCAGATGCTGTTAGGGTGTGTTTTAAGCGTTTGGTTGAGAATTTAGATAGTTCGGATCCCCGGATTTTGTCTGCTGTTGTTGGGGTCTTTTGCGAGCTTACTTCCCAGGACCCTAGATCTTACCTTCCTTTGGCACCCGAATTTTATAGGATTTTGGCCGATAGCAAGAACAATTGGGTGCTCATTAAGGTCTTGAAGATATTTAAAAATCTTGCTCCATTGGAGCCTAGACTGGCTAGGAAAATTGTTGAACCTATAACTGAGCATATGAGAAGAACAGATGCTAAATCCTTGATGTTTGAGTGCATTAGGACTGTAGTGACTAGCTTGTCTGACTTTGAATCAGCAGTTAAACTTGCTGTTGAGAGAACTCGAGAATTTTTGGTTGACGACGATCCGAATCTAAAGTATCTTGGATTGCATGCTCTTTCAATCCTTGTGCCAAAACACTCGTGGGCTGTTTTGGAAAATAAAGAGGTTGTAATTAAGTCTCTAAGTGATGTGGATCCAAATGTTAAACTTGAGTCCTTGCGGCTTGTGATGGCTATGGTTTATGATAATAATGTAGCTGAAATTTGCAGAGTTTTGGTGAACATCGCGATTAAATCTGATCCTGAGTTTTGTAATGAAATTCTTGGGTCCATATTAGCTACATGTGGTGAAAATGTGTATGAAATTGTTATTGACTTTGATTGGTATGTGTCGCTTCTTGGAGAAATGTCGAGGATCCCACATTGCCAAAAGGGAGGGGAAATTGAAACTCAGCTTATAGATATTGGTATGAGGGTGAAGGATGCAAGGCCTACTCTTGTCATGGTTGGCCGTGATCTGCTGATTGATCCAGCGTTACTCGGTAATCCTTTCATGCATAGGATACTGTCAGCTGCTGCTTGGGTGTCAGGCGAATACGTGCAGTTTTCAGGCAAGCCATTCGAGCTCCTAGAGGCATTGTTACAACCTCGCTGTAATCTCTTGCCACTGTCAGTTAGAGCAGTTTATGTTCAGTCAGCGTTTAAAGTGTTGGTTTTTTGTTTAAATTCTTACATTCAAGAGCAATACGTTGAGTCCTCTTCGTATGTTGATACTTTGATAGAGAATGATTCAGAATCGATCTCTGCCAGGGAATGCCAAGATGCTTCTAATCTTCATGAACAGGTCGAAGAGTTCAACTCAAGGGAGACACTGTCTCGTGTCCAGACTTGTACGTCTGCATCATTGGAGGATAATGGTTCGTCTATTGGATCGATAGCTGAGTTGTTGAATTTTATTCAGTTTTCTTTGGGGCCTTTAACATGGAGCCATGATGTCGAATTGCTTGAGAGGTCTAGAAACTTGCTCAATTTTATTGAGCTAATTAGAATACAGATTCCTGATGGTTTAAATCAAAAGGATGGGAGTTCAGAAATGGAACTTGCTGAAATCTCCAAAATAGTTGAACTGATTCTTGATGCTTTCTCCGATGACTTTGGCCCCATCTCAGTAAATGCTCAAGAAAGAGTTCCAATTCCTGAAGGATTGATATTCAAGGAGAATCTTGATGACTTGGAAATGATATGTAGTGACACTCAGCTACCAGAAAGCTCCTTTTCTTTTGGAAGTTCTCTCTACGAGGAAAGGCTTGATTCATCTCTATTATCTCAACAAAGCCAGCAAGTGTCTGAACCATCAAACGCAACCACATCTCTTCTCTCCGAACATCGTAAGCGGCATGGACTGTATTATCTTCCATCAGATAAGACTGATGATGCCTCTAACGATTATCCACCGGCCAACGAACTCAAGTTACAAGATCATCTGGATGACGACGCAGCCCACCTTGTAAAGCTTGCAGAACGGTCACTCGCATTAAAGAAAAAGTCTACTTCAGCCAAGCCTAGGCCTGTGGTAGTGAGATTGGATGAAGGAGATGAATTGCCGGTTATGAGGAAGAAGCCTCAGTCGAAGGATGAACAGCTTTCCGATGCAATACGCAATGTTCTTGTGGGTAGTGATGTAATGCCTACTTCCTCACAGACAAACCAATCTTCCAAACCCTCTAGCAGGAGAAAAGGAAAGGAGAAACAGAATGCTGATAATCCTTCTGAATCAAAAGAAAACTTGGGTGATGTTGAAGAGCAATCCAATACGGTAGATACAAGTTCGAGAAGAACGCATCGACGTCATGGAAAAGAAGGCAAACAATCAAGTCATGAAAAGAGAAGTGAGAAAAAAGATCAAGTTCATAAGAAAGGCAAGCGAATGAGTAGTCAGCAACACAGTAGGCATAAAGCTAAACAAAGTGGAGATGCTTCATTTCCTGTGGCTTCACAGACAGTTATACCCGATTTCCTTTTATAGCAACAGAACATTCCGACATCGATGACTGGTTTGATTTCCGAATTCTCGTGAGCCATGGTTAGTCCTGCTGTAAAAAATTGTTCATTTTTTTGGTGTATGTTTGGGGGTGCTTTTGGATTCACTTGGGATTATCTGGTTTCTGGTATTAATATGAAGCATTTTTTTGATAACTTTAAACATACAAAGAAAGGGATTCATACTACAAATATGTTGTCTGTTCTACCTTGAGTACTATGAAAGACACCGAAAGAGAAAATAATTTGTTTCCTGAGTTGAGAGCTGCTAAGAAAGCAAAAGAAAGAACATGGGGAATCCTTAAAATGATGGAAGAGTGTAAGTGAAACGTCTAAAGTCAACCACTTGGAAATGGGAAATCCAATGGGAAGGAAGACTTTTGACTTTTGAGAGTTGTAATCAAAGTTTCGAGCTTCCTCGTACCAATAATTTGTTTCCCACTGCTAGCAGATATTGTCCTGACTTTCCCTTTCGAGCTTCCCCTCAAGGTTTTTAAAACGCGTCAGCTAGGGAGAGGATTTCACTCTTATAAAGAATGTTTCGTTCTCCTCCCCAATCGATGTGGGATCTCACACTATCATTTGTGATTTCTCTCTCATATATCAAATAATATAAAACGGTTAGCTACATAGTTTCTTCTTGATAAATTCAGTTTCCCCTCTCTTTCATGCAATAGTTTATCCTAGGTTTGGGGCATTTTATGCATGCTTGTTTTATGGCCCTTCTTGGAGCAAAGCCAAAAAAGAAGACTTTTGCAGAGAAGAGCACATGATAGTTTACTAACTTTCGCTTCAAGCAACTTCTTCATTAATCCAACTTTCTTCATCTTCTTCATGTTCTTCATGTTCCTCATCTTCCTCTTCTGTCACCTTCTGAGTCTGAGCAGTCAGAAGCCAAAACCCAAATGGCTAATGATCAGCTCAAGTATTCTCCATTACCCTCCAAGCTGCACCCCAGTTCTCCATCTCAGTTTTCTCAAATCTTCCGTTTTCTCTTCTTACTTATTGGCTTCTCCATTGGAATGGCCATTGGTTTGAACCTCAACAGCTTCTCCTCATTTAATATCTTTTCCTTTCCATCTTCACCATCAACCCTCTTGTTTCTCAAACCACAACAACCTCCCTCGTCACCCCCTCCATCTCAACCACCGTCGCCATTGTTGCCGCCAGTACCATTGCCGTCTCCTGAGTTTTTCGACCCAAATGTAGAGCCACCTCTGATGCACAGAATGACAGATGATGAAGTCTTCTGGAGAGCATCCATGGTTCCACTGATCAAAGAATTCCCATATGAACGTGTGCCAAAAGTGGCTTTCATGTTTCTGATAAAGGGGCCGTTGCCTTTAGCTCCTTTGTGG